ATCTGAAGACCTGTAACATCGCCTCTGGTGTGAGTAAGCCGACGAAGCACGACGACAGGGTCGAAATATCTCTCGGCGACCATGCTTCGTCGGACCCGGAGCGACGCGCGAGCTATTTTAGCCGCCAATTCATACTGCATCCTCCGGCGGACAAAGCCAAGCGTCAGAAGGCTGCATAAACTGCCAACAACCTGTGTCCCTCTTGCTTTCACTAGCGGTGAAGTTCAGGGAGCCATAGGGAAGGCGAAAGCATGCAAAGCCATAGGCCCTGACGAAATATGCATGTTGATGCTGAAAAATTTGGGTCCTGCCGGAGTAGCATACCTAATGGAGGTCTTCAATATTTCAATGGCCACTCTCATCATCCCAGACATCTGGAAGGTGGGGAGAGTGGTCCCACTGCTCAAACCGGGGAAACCAGCCAACAAAGGAGAGTCTTAACGTCCGATATCAGTCCTTTCCCCGGTAGCGAAGACACTTAAGGCGTTGCTACTCCCGTATTACACGAACAACCTGATCCCAGCGAAGCATCAGCATGGTTTCCGTAAAGTGCACAGTACAAAAACAGCACTTAACGCCATAAACACGCAGATAACTCGTGGCTTAAACCGCAACCATCTCTGTGAGAGAACTATTCCAGTAGCGTTGAACCTGTCAAAGGCGTTTGATACCGTCAGCCACTCCACGCTGCTAGAAGACAAAGAGGCCTCCTATTTCAAACAGTGGTCGGCGAATTATCTAAGTGGTCGACACTCGTCAGTAATGTTTAGAGACAAATCAAGCAAACCTAGAAAAAAACAGGGGGTTCCCAGGGTGGTGTCTTTTCTTCCTTACTGTTTAACTACTATATTTCAAAGCTCCCTCAACCACCAGAGGGGGTCTCGATTGTCTCCTATGCTGACGATTGTTCGATAATGGCGTCTGGGAATGGAATTGATGACTGGTGCTGGAAAGTAAACGGGTTTCTCTCCGAGCTTTCTCGCTTCTTCACTGCTAGGAGCCTAATCATCTCCCCTACAAAATCCTCTGTGACCTTGTTCACCACCTGGACGAAGGAGGGGAACTCACGTCGATGATACACCAATTCCGACGGTGAATAACCCCAAAATACTCGGAGTAACCTTCGACAATCTGCTCTCCTTCTCTGCGCACGCAACCGCTATTGTCAACAATGTGCAGAGCCGCAACAAGGTCCTCAAGTCGCTAGCCGGCAGTTTTTGGGGCAAATACAAATAAACGTTGCTGGCAACATACAAGGCAATAGGCCGGCCGGTTTTAAATTACGCAGCTCCAGTGTGGTCGCCGGGGACTAGGAGGACGCAGTGGATGAAGCTGCAGACGACACAAAACACTGCTCTCCGGACAGCGACTGGATGTCTTCTGATGTCGCCAGAACACCACCTGCACGACGAGGCGAAAATTCTCCCCATAAAGGAGCACAACACAATGCTCTGCAAGCAATTCCTAGTAGGGAGCCACAGACGTGGGCAGCCGAACAGACACTTGCTTGCAGAGGGACCCTCGCCAAGGCATGTCAGAAGGCATCTTTACGAACTGACGGACGAAGTCCAGAGGTTCATAAAGCAGCCTCTGGACCCGTCAGCGGAGCGGCATTCACAGTTACGTAGACTCCAGACCTGTGAATGCCGTTCTAGGCACAGATCCACCTGACATCGACGAGACGGAGCTTCGTCTGCCTCGGCAGACTATAACCACAATGGCCCAACTTCGCTCTGGCTACTACAGCAGGTTAAACTCATACCTGAGCAGATTAGTTGAAGATGTGCCAAATGAGTGTCCGGCATGCGGAGAGACACCCCGCGACTCGAAACATCTCTTCGTATGCTCGGAAAACATGACAACACTAACGCCTTTGTCCCTTTGGACCGACCCCATTGAGACTGTACGCTTCTTGGGGCTTCCGTTAGTTGAGCTTGACGACAACGACTGAGATATTAACCGATCTGGGCTGGGTTGTTGTCATCGCTACAACAACAACAGATTAATAAATTGTTTATAATTATAAACACTATTACAATTTAAAATCGATATCAAAAGTTGTTCTTCTTTTCTTCACTTTCATTTTTATTTAAAATTAATGCATTTGGCTCATTCCACGGTAATCGATACCGAAAGAAACGAAAATAAACTTAAGAATTTGACTGTATTATTTCTAGTAAGTAAGAGTAAATAAATCTAACTTTCAAGACTGAAAGCCAAAATTCCGAAATTTATCTCAAAATCAAATACAATGAGATATGAGAGGTTAATTTTTTTCAAAATTTACAAGACTGATTTTCGTAGTCTATTATCTTGTTTGCATTGTTTAAGCCGTCAGTGGAGAGAAAAATTCGTTAGCATTGTAACAGCGTAATTTTAAAATTTTTNGTGTGGTCGCCGGGGACTAGGAGGACGCAGTGGATGAAGCTGCAGACGACACAAAACACTGCTCTCCGGACAGCGACTGGATGTCTTCTGATGTCGCCAGAACACCACCTGCACGACGAGGCGAAAATTCTCCCCATAAAGGAGCACAACACAATGCTCTGCAAGCAATTCCTAGTAGGGAGCCACAGACGTGGGCAGCCGAACAGACACTTGCTTGCAGAGGGACCCTCGCCAAGGCATGTCAGAAGGCATCTTTACGAACTGACGGACGAAGTCCAGAGGTTCATAAAGCAGCCTCTGGACCCGTCAGCGGAGCGGCATTCACAGTTACGTAGACTCCAGACCTGTGAATGCCGTTCTAGGCACAGATCCACCTGACATCGACGAGACGGAGCTTCGTCTGCCTCGGCAGACTATAACCACAATGGCCCAACTTCGCTCTGGCTACTACAGCAGGTTAAACTCATACCTGAGCAGATTAGTTGAAGATGTGCCAAATGAGTGTCCGGCATGCGGAGAGACACCCCGCGACTCGAAACATCTCTTCGTATGCTCGGAAAACATGACAACACTAACGCCTTTGTCCCTTTGGACCGACCCCATTGAGACTGTACGCTTCTTGGGGCTTCCGTTAGTTGAGCTTGACGACAACGACTGAGATATTAACCGATCTGGGCTGGGTTGTTGTCATCGCTACAACAACAACAGATTAATAAATTGTTTATAATTATAAACACTATTACAATTTAAAATCGATATCAAAAGTTGTTCTTCTTTTCTTCACTTTCATTTTTATTTAAAATTAATGCATTTGGCTCATTCCACGGTAATCGATACCGAAAGAAACGAAAATAAACTTAAGAATTTGACTGTATTATTTCTAGTAAGTAAGAGTAAATAAATCTAACTTTCAAGACTGAAAGCCAAAATTCCGAAATTTATCTCAAAATCAAATACAATGAGATATGAGAGGTTAATTTTTTTCAAAATTTACAAGACTGATTTTCGTAGTCTATTATCTTGTTTGCATTGTTTAAGCCGTCAGTGGAGAGAAAAATTCGTTAGCATTGTAACAGCGTAATTTTAAAATTTTTCGGACAAGTACTAAATATTTTATTATATATTGAAGCAAAGCATATTTCAATGTCACGCCCGTCACAAAATACACAAAATAGTTATTTTTTGAAGGAAAACACATCTTGAACAGTATAAAAAGCTGACGAAAGTACGCTATGACACAGAGGAATATTTGCGAATTGCCTTTAATTATTTATATGCTTTTATTTTCGAAAAAAGAACCGATTATGTTGATCACGCCCGTCACATGTCAGACCCGTCACAATTTAAAGTTTGACAAACTTCAATAAATTCGGCCAGGGACTGCTACCGTTACTTATCTGCTAATCTAAAATGTAACATAAATCTATTTGTGATCAGCGATGATAAAGCTAATCATAAAGATATGCTGCTCGAGCGATGGGAAAACTTAAGCTATGCTGGCACGGATAAAAAGAAACCATTACTTCGCTTGTCAGGGCAAAAACAGTATCTAAAACGGTTTTTACAGGTAACGGCCTCAGTTTGACAGGCAACAGCCTCATAATATTTAAAAATAAGGTACTTTACAATTACTCAGGCATACAAAGGAGACGAAGAGTCCGATCAAGGATTATCCCGTCTTTAGGTGGCAGAATCTTGTACGTGTTCGTAAAATCCGATTTTCTGAGAAATAAAGTTAGTTTAGTTGTCTAATAATGTGTATATATGTATTTATGCTCAACTTGTCATACCCGTTACAAAGTCAAGTCGCGCCCGTCACAGTCGAATTTGGAACATATAATCTATAATACCCAATAGAGGTAAGCAACTTTGGCGTAAATGTTGAGAATGTTTATTTAACTATATAACGAACTATTTAAAACCATAAGCAGAAGACATAATTAGCAGAAAAACTCTGATGGAAGGAAGTAGTAGCTAATTTGGTTTGCGTACTCGTCACACCCGTCACAGTGACTAAAATTCAGATAACTCGTTCGGATTAAATTGTTTTTGAAATTTTTTTTCTAGGCATTGTGTATATCTCGGAAACTTATTAGAACTTACTCGTTTTAAAGAATTTAATATTACAGTTTAAGAATTAAGCCTTAAAATGAGAGTTGAAATGTCACACCCGTCACCGTGGAATGAGCCATTTGCATTTTGTTTGTTTTTAGAGCTAATAAAATTGTTGCAACGTAATGAAATGCGCTCAATTATTATAAAAACAAATTTACAAAATTCTCCTCTCAAAACTTTCCAACGGAGCAATTTAGTTTTTTTTTGCTATTGTCGGGACAATTTCTCAGATTGACAATCGTCAGTACCATTGCCAGACAATTGCCGACAATATACTAGTACTGTCACTATGCGGTTCCAACAACTATCACAGTTGTTTGTAAGAAGCTGTGAAACAGTAAAAATGTTCTCGCTCTTGCACTTTTCCATGAAAATCGATAATTGTCGCGTATATCTTTCAATGAAATTGTCCAGCTTTGCAGGGGAATAATTTCTATTTGTTGCCGCATTGTAAAGTTGTAAGTAAAAAAATAAGTTGAAAATAAATTTCATTCCAGATGGGTACAAACCGGATCATTCTTATGCAACTATCACGTTTTCACTCTATCATGGAACTTAGAAGGAACGCGCCTTCTTACCGGCGGATCCATTATAGAAATGTGGAAAGAAAAAACTTCAGAAAAAGTTGAAGAAAGTTCAAATGGTAATAAAGGGGGATTCATGGCAACAACTTAGAAATCTGTATGCAATATAAAGTTTTTCACATAAAAATGATTTCAGGTGTCAAATTCGAAATTGGCGGGGGTGACCGCGGCAACAAAACACCAACTAATGAGCCCCAGGATGAAGTAGTAACATGGGACACTATATGGTCGTGTCAAACTGCAATTCCCATTTATCATATGGCATTCAGTCCCGATGGTACCCTTTTTGCGACATGCGGGCGAAATGACAGACTTGTGAAAATTTGGTATGAAAATAAGCAAGGTAAGAAATATTTTCCAAAATATAATGTTAAGATTGCCGCTACCATATATAATTTATTTATTGCAGTTCTTTTTCCTTCTAAAAACGGTACTAAAACTGTCTTTGGAAACGATGCAGAACTAAATTTTACATATGTTTATATTGCACACCCTCGTGCAGTAACAAACATCGCGTGGCGTAAAACAAGCAAGTATATGCCGAAGGGATCCGTATCGAACATGATAGTAACGTCATGTCTTGACAATATCTGCCGTATTTGGATCGAAACTGTATTACCAGATGATGGTTTAATTAATATGACCCAATTCGATCCGTTAGCATCACAAAATCCAAAATTTAGGACACAACGCCACAAACATCGTTTCATGCAACGATTAAAACATATGAAGACCTGTTTTCATATTAGAAGGCACGCGAAAGCGGGGTCTGGAATTACTAATTACCAAGCTAATGTTTTAACTGACGCATTTCACGGACCAATACCGTCTTTACCGTCATCTTGTAGTGTTCACGACTTTCATTCATATGGGTTTCATAGCACGGGCGTATCTCCCGGTATGCATTTTCACTTGGCGGCGTCAATTAATGCTGAAACGGATATTCCACTTGTTCCTTCAATGCATTCGTCGGATAGTTCTAATCAAAACAGCTTTATTTTACATTGGCTTAATAATAAGGAAATGAATTTTTCCCTTCAGGCTGAAGTTATACTCCAGGAACTGACTAAAAAAATAATTGACGAAGAAAGTACTAATACGTCAAATAATAATGTCTCTGAACAGCAGGAACTAGAAGTTGCTGATGAATCTAAAAAGAAGTTTTTCCGGGCTTTATCGAAGTCATTGTCGGCAGAAGATAGTTGCTCGGAAGAGTACAAGATTTCACCTCATCAGAGTAAGACTGGCATTTTACAAAATACGAATTCAATGTCGAACACAGCATCTCTGAATTCTTTAAACGAAAACAACCCGACCATTAATCATTTTGCTGACTCTCTGGACTTCAAAATTGAATGTTTATTAAGGGATTGGCACCAAGGTCCCGATCTTGTATTTGCAATTCATCCTATAGATGGAAGTTATCTTATATGGGTAGTTGATTGGCTGGATGATTATTACCCAGGATCCTTTCGCCAAGCACAAATTTCGTTCTCCACACGCATTCCATCTGCGTTTCCACTCGGTGACGCAATGTCTATGTCAACAACAGTTAGTTTGTACAATACAGGTTCTCCGCCTCTAATTTTTCGAGAAATTGCAAACAGCGTGAAAAGTAGAAGCGAAGAAAATACATCACTAAAAGAATCGCCTAATTCTTCCCCTATGAACAAACCTAACAATCCCGAAATAAACGAACAGTGCTTCAACAATCTAACAAACAGTCTTTCGCCGTCTGTTTCTATGGTAACCAAACATTCCAATGGAACCTTAAACTTGTGGCAACTAACTTTTGCTCTTAAAACGAAATTTACTCAAGTTCTCAGCATTGGTCATGTTTGCAGAGCTTCCGGACACCGCTTCAGAGTTAACGATATAACTTGTCATCCCGTTTTACCACTTCTTGTCTCAACTTCTCATCATAATTTGCCAGAATCCGAAAAGAAATCACCTTGTAGTGCTGAAAATCTTCCTTACAACAAAGATGTTTTTACTCCTTCTGGATTTTGCTCTGAACTTATTTTGTGGAGAGTCGATTCCGTTGGTCCACTTTGCCATTCGGGTGGAGTAAGTGAATTAGCACGCATTAATTCCCCTGAAATATCTGCATTTAGCAACGTCGCATGGATTCCAACTCTGCTTCCGAGTACAACCTTAGGAAACAGTAGTAATTCCCCATCAGCTTGTTTTGTTGCCAGTGATGGAGAAAATCTACGAGTTTATCAAGCAGTCATCGATGCACGCACCCTGCTTGCAGAGATATCCTCTTCGGAAAATGTTCATAGCTTCTATAAAACCAATTCAATGACATCAATTTATTCGAATGCTTCATCCACCTTTAAAATGAGAAAAACACCATTTCATGAAAAACTTAAGGTTGTGTCTCAGCAATCTACTGCACGTCCTGGATGCATAATTCAACTTGATCCAATATCAGAAGCTAAACACGATTGGCAGAACACTCAATTTCTACATGTTTTCCAAGCACAGTTGATTGATGGAGGTCATCGAATGGAAACGGATTTAGATGCAATTGTTGATCTTCAACAACATTTTGAATTTAAAGAGCCTTTTTATATCGTCATAATTGAAAAAACTATTAAAGGGAGTACAATTCATATGTGGCGTATCATTATTTCCTCAAAGGAACAAAAAACTTTTCTATCAGATACCGCAATGTATGTTCCTGACAGCAACATTGTACAAGATATGGAAGAATCCGACTTAGCGCAACGAAGAATGTCAGGCGCTAATATATTACTTAACAATTGTGAAGAAACAGGTAGTGATACAGCGCATATGACTATACAAACAGAAAAAGTTTGTACTCAAGAGCTGCCTATGCCCGAAGGGGTTGATGTCATCCATGCCTCCCCAGCCGCTGGTCATTTAAGTTCTTCGTCTATTTATCCGGCTTGTTATGCTCCCTACATAGTAGTTACTGCCTGTTCAGATTCGATTTCCCGATTTTGGAAATGCGAAACTATTTCAGATGATACTGAAGATATCTCTAAAAAGATATACAAATGGGCCGAATGGAAAATGTCAAGTAGAGTACAGGATTCAGCTATAGAAATTCCTGGACAACCTTTAAATATTAGTGCGGCGTATTCTGGACGAGTAGCCTGTGCTTATAAATATGGAAAGAGCTTCACTCGTCCAAATAAAGGTGACCCAGATTCGAGATATATAAATCTTTGCGTGGCTATTTATGAATGTGAAAGCTCTGGTGGGAGCGAATGGGTACTAGAAGATACAATTCACTTAAAAAATGTACATTTACCGCGAATGAACATTGATCATGGCATCGATCTTAGTTATTTACATGATAGTCGACTACTGCAAAAGAAACAACGTCTGAACCAAGTCTTCCAAACATTTACGCAAGATGACGCCAGATCACCACGAAGTGGTGATACAACACCTGAACTCACAACAAAAACGAGTGCTACAGGACTCCTTGCAGTTCCAAGTTTTAGTACGCTACAATCTTTGAGAAAAAGTATCGCTGAAAATGGAAATACGTGTCCATTAACTCAAAAGCATCTGGTTCAATTAGATTGGGTATCAAAGGAAGACGGTTCGCACATATTAACAGTGGCCGTAGGCAGTAAAATACTTCTGTATACTGCTGTTTCATCAGATATCGCCCAGGCTAACATCAAAGCCATGAAAGTGTCAAGATCAGCAAACCGGCCAATTTTGCGTAAAGCAAGTTCTTTAGCTCAGCCACATTTTAACGACGAAATACGTTGGATGAAATTGCGGCAAATTGACTTACATACGGCCGATGGTTTGCCACCATTACCTATGCAAATATCATGGGTTCGAGATGGAATATTGGTGGTAGCAATGGATTCCGAAATGCATGTTTATTCACAATGGAAGCCTCGCTTTAACCAGGAACATAGCGTGGAAGACCTCTTCGATTCTAGAAATCTTCGCGATGAAGATTTGAGATCCTTGGCCAACGAGTCAACGCAGTTACGGCTAAAAACTGCGTCATCCATACCATTAATAAGTAAAGTGAGCACTACTAATCTGCAATTGCTCTCTAACGAAAAACGGAAAAGATATGGAAACTCAAACACAAGTGTACCAACGGGATGCGAGTCAGCGGGCGATGATTATATGCCTGATTTTGGTTTATTTCAGGCTTCTCGTATAGCATGCCCGGTACTTCCACAATATCACCCAAAGCAACTAATGGAGCTGCTTAATTCGGGGAAAATAAATTGGGTCAAAGCAATATTAGCCCATTTAGTGCGCTGCATGAGTGGTCCAAACGAATACACATCCACTTCAGATGACGGAAGCTCAGAGAAACAGGTAAATATTAGGGTACATAAAAATTATTGTTGTAGCGGCTAGTTTTGTATGTTGTGTGAGACGCTTTTTAACGAGCTACATACGTACGGACATGCCGGTATTAGAAAACAAGTTTTTTGTTTCTTATGAGTAAAAATTGGTGATGTGGGCCACCAGTTTTTCGAAGGTCGAACTTTTTTTTTGTAATTATCTATTTATGCCTCACAACGATAAAAGAAAAATACAAGTTTCACAATTTTTCGAAATTCGAATTATTTTGGAAGTTATAGCTATTAACATTTTTCGAAATTGTTTAGATTTTAATTGTTTTCTCGCGATTGGTAATACTGCTTCTGCTAATTTTAATACTAATTTAATAATTTTAAACAGTTAATAATGATGATGTTTTCTTCCCATTTTTATTTTTTATTTGGTCATAATTTTTTTTTATAAAAGTTATTATTTTTTTTTTTATAATACTGACATCTCATGACCTAAAAATCGCGTTTTGGGCTAATTTGGCTGTACGTTCTATTAACAATTATTTGCAGAAAAAAAGTTTGCCGGAATACATCGAGACGAAAGTTATTCACGCTTTTCTCTTGACGCCCAATGTAATTTGTATGGAAAACGTTTGCCGTAGATATTTATCTCGCATTTTCAACAAGTATCGATTGACAGCGAGTCTAGCGCGCTTGCGATACTCATTTCAAGAGAAAAACGTTAATAACTTTCGTCTGGATGAATTCCGGCAAATTTTTTTTCTGCAACTAGTTGCTAATAGGACGTACAACAATACTAGCCTAAAACGCGATCTTAAAGCAATTGAGATGTCAGTAATTAAAAAAAAAAATGTAATAACTTTTATATAAAAAATTTTATGACCAAATAAAAATTAAAATGGGAAGAAAACATCATCATTCTTAACTGTTTAAAAAATTATCAGAATCTGTATTACCCGTTGCAAGAAAACAAATATAATCTAAACAATTTCGAAAAAAGTTAACGGCTATAACTTCCAAAATAATTTCGAAAAATTGTGAAACTTTTGGCAATAACAAACCTCCGAAAGTATTTCTGCCATGAAAGTCAGCTTCTCATAAAAAGAAATCGCCGTTCGGAGTCGGCGTAAAACTGTAGGTCCCTCCCCTTTGTGAACAGCATCAAGGCGCACGCCACAAATCGGAGGAGAAGCTCGTCCAGCCACTAACGTATGTGTAAGCGCCAATATATTAGCATTATATAGCATTTGCACATTTATTTAAACCAAACGCAAATTAATTCAATCCAAACACACATTAATTTAACCCAAACGCAAATTAAGTTAAACCAAATGCAAATTAGTTTCACCCAGCGAAAATTAAATTAAACCAAACGCAAATAAATTTAAACCAAAACGTATCATTGCCATTGTCGATTAGTTACTTGTAGTTTGAATCTATAGCAGTAGTGGGAATTTCATATCACGCTAGTGTTGCCACAGAAACATTTTTTTTCCTACCAAAAATTCTTACCATAACCAACTAAAACCTACCAAAAATTTTTTTGAGTTTTAATATTTGTTTTCAATGTCAAATTTATTTAAAACATAGCCAACATAACATTTAGCAAAACTAAAACACAGCTAGTAAAATAAAAACGAATTAACTACGTATAACGATTCATTTTACTGTACAGACTTATCCAAATGTATGTCTCTTTACTCATACATATGTACGTATCGTCATTACAAACGAATAAAGACACGAGCTCAAAAGTTGACAGCGAAAAAAGACGCGTAAAAAAATGTCGGCGAAGAAAGACTCTTAACATAGGTGACGGCAAAGAAAGCCGCGTTAACCTCTTTGACGGCAAAGTAAGACACATAGACTTATGTTCGCGGTCAACTATGTTTGCGAGTGTAACAGTATACTTTTTCCCCAAAGAGTTTTTCCGGAATGATGTTGAATTCATGTTTACGCGTCTTTTTTCGCAATTTTTTTCACGCGTCCTTTTTCGTCGTCAAAACACCCGAGCATATTTATTCGTGTCTCGTGACGATATTATTATTATTACGTAGGAGATACCCGCGACCTAAGATAATATAAATAAAGTGCTAAATCCTAATTGTTATCAGCGCTTTGGATGATGTTATGATCCAAATTTTAGATGGAGAAGACAATCGTTCTCCAAGGTGTATCAATCTACGATTCATGCTTCGTGGACAGGCACATAGAATATACTCTGGGCTTTCCTCCACCAGCCCACAAAACCTACAGCGTCTACAGAAAGACCCATTTAATTCAAACGATACGTTAACTTGCAGTGTGCTGTCAGGTTGCCAGTAAGAGTTCTAAGTTCAAGGTGCCTTTCGGAGTTCCTCTTGGAAAGAGTTATGCATCTCCATTATTGTCTTATTCCCTTTGATTTCCGCAGTGGACAGAACTGTGAGTGCAGTGTATCATGCACCGCAGAAAGGCTCGGGACCATGTAAACGCATTTGGGCTCCACGCTTAGCGAGACAGCAGCAATTTCGTTGCCTTCAAACCCTTCATGTTCCTGAACCCTCCACAGCGTTACATTATTGTGGGCTCCCAAGTGGTTCAAGAGTTCACAAGCCTTGATGTCGTTTTAAAAGACTCTAAGGTCTTTAACGCTGCCTGAATATCCGGCATAATACGTATTGTGGCCTCATTTGCCTTCTACGATGACACCAGCGAATCAATCGATTGCGAAGACCTCCGCCTGGAATATGGTTGGGTACGAGCCCATTGGCAGACTTTTCTGCAATCTTGGTCCAAGTACGCCATAAATTATATCGCAAACTAAAGGTGAAAAGCTGCCAAGTCCATTTTTTTTTAAGTTTAGTTTTTGATGCAGGCATATTTACATGTTTGCGGCCGCCGTTGTACGAACGCACCGGTGAAATATTCGTGTAAAAAGGGTTGCTAAAATGTTTAGAGATACATATTTTCTATTTTCCGCAAAATAACTTTTACTTATTGTCCCGAAACCTACCAAAATCTAATCAAGCCTACCAACCACCAACTGGAAAAAACCCTACNAGTTTTGGTAGGAAAAGCCCATGTGTGGCAACACTGTATCACGCGTACAGCTCAACTGTACGCTTTTCAAACGTATATGCTCACACACAGGGTTGCCACTGACGAAAAAAATAGTTACCATCCACTTGAGAAAAATCTACCAGATCTGGAAAATATCTACCAATACATTTTTATAGTTATTTTATTAAAAACAATAGCTTTGTTGTTTTTTATTTATTTTAATTAAAACTGTTGCTTTTTATTTTTTTTTAGTTATTTCAATAATAATTAAAATTGTTTTTAAGGAGCTTTTTATTTAACTAATTATACGGTATTTGAGTCATATTATTGGCATATTCTCAGTTTCCTTCAACCAAAAGGGGAAGTGATGAAACTAAATGCAACGAAACTTCTTAATTTGAAAAACTTCAACTCGAGTTATTATAAACAAATACAGTGACTCAAAAAAGCACTTGGTGTTTTTCTAGTAAACATTTTTTTATTGCTTTAACTAAATCCATAAAAATTAAGGATTCAAACTATATACAACATTTAGAAAAATTTAAACAATTTCCACCAAATTTCGAATTTTTTACTCTGAATTTTAAGAACAATTTAAGGTACCAAGTTTTAAAGCAAATAATGCTTAAGTATAGCTCGCAATGTGCTTCCCGTTGATTTTTTTTTTTAATTTTTTGCCGTCAGTCTTTGGTGTTTTTTTTTTATTTAACAATTTCTATTGATAAAAAATGGCGTTGATTTCATTTTTTTGCGAACAATCATAGTGCGTCATTACATACCTGTCAATTTTTTCTTTATATGTATTTAAATAATCATTTAAAATATTTAGGCAATCAAAAGCTCCTCGGGATTCCAGTAAAATGAGTTTTGAATAGAACACGATATGTTCGCGTTATATCAATATACATTTATACGTATGCAAGTATGTATATAAAAAGTATGCAAAGAAATTTATAATATAAAGATAACTACGTAAAAGAAACGAAAAGTTCAACAAAAGTCTACCAACATGAGAAAAAATTTACCTTTTTACCAACCCAAATTTTTTCTACCAATTTTGGTAACAATTTACCAAAGTGGCAACTCTGCTCACACATTACATTGCCGAACAAAAAAACGAAATTCAACCAATGAATCAGTCTGGCATAAGCTCTTGCCGAGGCATGTTGCATTGTTTGCGCGCTCATAGCACGCAGTTTTTTTGTCGAAAATTAGGAGTTGTGCTTGCGCTTTTCTTAAATTGCAGAAGCGTGCGCATACAACCTCCTCGTTTCAACTGAAGTAATCGACTGAATGACCGAGTCGTTCGCTCTCGGCCAAAGACACTACCACATGCTCAAAATGTGATAGTGTTAGTGTGCCCATCACGGTTGCCATTTCCAATTTATTTTTCGGACCAAAAAATGGACCANTTCAACGCAAAGTTGAACAATGCAAACACACTTTAACATAAACAATAATATCTGAGAATCGGCTTACTCTAGAAATGGCTACATATAACTGCCCATGGGAAAACACAAGGTTAGGTAGGTATAATCCGGCTTTGTCAAGAGTCTGGCCATGGGCTTTATTAATTGTTTTAGCAAAAGCTACAATAGGGAACCAGTGTACGAAAATAAACTATATNTTTTTTTTCATCGGGAAATCGAGTGGAGTTTATTCCTCTTTATCAAGAAAATATGTCAATTCAATTTTTATAACGATTTTATTTAAATTGCATCCAAAGTGCATTACAATTATAGGTAGAATCTGGAAAAAAATGTGGTAGATTTCAAAAAAATGTGGTAGATCTCTGGGTTTGGATCAAACTTTGTACAAAAATTNTTAGCAAAAGCTACAATAGGGAACCAGTGTACGAAAATAAACTATATTGTACGTTACTATTTCGTTTCGTACAGTTCGGTACAATACGAAAACAAAACGGCTGAGTTCACTTTGGCGATAATACACTACAGTAGTTTAGTAGTTACAGACGAA